GGGGGGGGGGAAGAAACACATGTCCATTGCTTTAATATTTTTATAAATGTGCCTACTAGGGACAAAGGACCTTTTTTTTTTTCTAGTTTATGGTGTGCTGAGAATACTTCAGAATCTATCTAGAATTTATTACATTTCTCTAACCTCTTCACCAGTGTTGTATCTACAAAACCTCCCTCCAATTCACTATTACCCGCTCTGCACAAGGATATGAACTATCATTAGGAATGCTACACTTAACAAATACTTTGCCTCGGAAAAAGCTAGTGTTGGTAGTTCTTAATTTTTATTAACATTAAAAGGGCATGACATTTAAAAATAAAAGAAAATGTTAATGTGAGCTTCACGAGCAACAGTAAATAGCATAAGGAATAGTATAAGCATTCTGAAAGACTTAGGATTTGGGCATTTTACTCAACTAAGCATTTAAATTACATTTTTCATTGCATTAAGGATGATAACACTATTGCAATGTGTACATTAAATGTGGCCCCACAAATAATGAAACAAATACAGATTATGAAATGCCATAGTCATTATAATTTTAAAGCAACTACAGTCTCTGGGAAATTTTGAAAGCCCAGTACTTTCCTGAACACAGTACGATTTTTAAAGAGGAAAGCTTCCTGCATCGGCTTTACTCCAACTACCTGCAGCACTGGGAGGATCCGGTCTGTCATTTCTAAGAACCCCACTTGAAATCCTGAAGCTCCTAGTTAAATCAGTGCATTGCTCCTAGACTCCAGTAATGAGTATCTGAATCTTTACTAGGCTGGCATGTGCTCTGGTGAAGGAGGGGACTCAGCTGTCCAGTTCCCTATTGATATAGAAAAGGAAGATCTGCCGAAACCAGACGTGTTGCCAGCTACACCTAGCTGTGGAGCAGCCTGCACATGGTCAGCTGCCTTCAGTGCACTGAATGTTTCTGAAGGCACTGCTAATTACTCTGGAGGATTTCAGGATGCACAGAGGCGTGGGTTGACCCTGGTGTCTAGGTCTTACACCTTCATTATAGTAAGATTCACTATGAAATATGACGTTGTGGTATTTCTCTTTATTTTGATCTATTAATCTGTCTCGTGCTAAAACATATCATGCCAGCTGAAAATCAGAGTTTGTCATCTGCTTGAACATGGCTGATAAGAAAAACCTGACTCTATGAAGGTTTTTTTTTTAATTTTTATTTTTTCATCCATATTTTTTTTTTTCTATCCCCCATTAGCAGAAATATCTGTAATGTTTAAGGTTTAATAAACCCTCAAAGACCCAAACTGCTGGCTTCTTGGAGTGCAACATGGAAATCATTAGAAAACATGTATATCTATAATACAAATTCAAAGTTGAATCTGTTTGCTGGTTCCCTGCAGAAGAGAAAGTTTTATCTATCTTTCTGTAGGCACCAGCTTACCATTTTTTCATGTGTAGCTGTTAAAAGAGCATGCATACAGATGAGTTCTTAGATGTCTGACAGCAATTTACTTACCCAAAGATCCCATTTACATGTGACAAAGTAGATGCATATAGAGTTTGGGTTTCATTTTATGCTTACATTGAGCCTTTAAGTGACTGCTGCTGAGCACATGCTTGGAATAACAAGCAGCATTTGCAACTTCATCCCCTAAAAGTTTATATCACTTCTGCTGGATTAACACTGTAGAAAGTTACAGGCAGTATGATAACATATTCTACATTTGGATGAGTACCAAAAGGAATGGACAGCATTAAAGAATGCGTGTTGCAATGATGCAACAGTTGTATTGGCGAAAATCCTGGGCCACTAAATGAAGTAATGTTTCCGTGTGTTATTAACGAAGCTGGGATTTCACCCTCAATGTTTACCCCTAAGATCAATCTAAACAATTTTGTCAGATCTGTGGCTGAGCGCAGCTCCATGACCATTACTCAGTGTCCTTGCTTTCAACTCCATAGAACGGTTAAAATGATATGGCAAAGCTTGTACCTCACAGTCTGTTTTGACCAGAGTCTTGAGTACCAGTGGTTTTGGGCTGACTGAAACATTTGTGGACTAGAATGCATCATACCTTCAGCACAGGTTGTATTTGACTCCATTGTGATGAACTAATCCAGAGCTTCCACATGCTCTCATGGTTGTCTACAGTACAATAACAAAGAATTTTTTTGCATCAAATCTGGTTGAATTTGGCCATGCAACCTATTTAGGTCCTGTTTCAATATTTTCAATTAATGAATACAACAAAACATCACAGAAACGGAGGGTGTTGAGTTGAAGACCTCCATCCTAGTTGTATACTACCTGTAGGTAGCAGAAAGCAACTGCAAACCACATAACTGAAGAGGATTACTTGTCCACTCACAAAGAATGGGAAGAGAAAACTTATTACACCAAAATGTTTCAAAGTATTGCTGTTGCATGATCGTGTATGTCACACTCAGATGTGTTCACTAAATTAAAGGACAGCCATTACATAGTACAGCTCTCTAACATACCTGGAGGCAATGCAAGATGAACTTATTCTGATATGTTTCTTAAAAAAGAATCCTAAAATGGTTAAGGGAATAAGAGTGCTTTCAGGTACAAAAGTATAAATTGATAATTGCTTTCAATCTCCATGGGAAAGAAAAAAGTTTCAGATTAAATGATCAACATCCCTGCTTTTGGTTATTAGCAGGTATTTTTCTTCCTAAGTGTGGGAGGAAACAGGTAGTGAGTAACTATATTCCAGTTTATTTCTAATGCACAGGAGCCTGACAAAAACAAATCTTTGAAATGGCATAATCTATATCTAAAGTCAAAGTGCAAGCAACAATCAATCACATTTTCATTCCGAGGATGCTTGGATAGAAGACTTAATTGTTTGCTGATGAAGGGAAATAAGGAAATTCTCATTTTAAAGAAAAGGTTAGTTTGCCACCAGCTTCATTTGTTTTGAATTTGGATTTTTGCCCTTTTTTTCTGACACTGAATATTAGATTCAGCCAGTATCTGAACCTATTGCATAGCCAAATCTGTAATTATCGTCCTACATAATAATATAACTAGTAAGATCGAGTGCTTTATGACTTAATCTGTGATTAGGAGCAGATCAGGAATCTTCTGATGAAGTGTTTTTTCTTGGAAAAGGCAGATGTGCTGACACCAAATATTTTCATGGGAAAAATACCTGTTCCAGTGAATGGTCAAGAAAACACAAAGCTGTGATGGACTTCCTGCATGCTTGCTGGGAGTCTGGGGACTCCTGGATGCGTTGCTTGGAGGAAGGCTTACATGGAAAACAGCCCTAGAGCAAAGGGCTAGAGAGCAAAACTGAGAGCCTCCTGCTCACATGTGACATGGCCAAGAGACTGGCAAGATGCGAGCCCCAGCTCCCAGAGTCTGACTCTGCCATGAGATCTGGATGTCTGCAGGCTCCCATTTCTCCCTCTCAGTCCATTGGGACAGCACACTAAAAAACACGAATTAAGATCAGAAATGTTCTTTAGAATGTAGGCATCGGTCCCACCCGTTACAAGCAGGAGTAGTGGGATCATTTAACTGGGAAGAACCTCACACAGAGACATTATCTACTGTGTGTTTAAATTCTTTCCTGGAGATGGGAGATTTCAACAATTTTACAAGTTCTCCCATTTTTCATTACAACTGAAATTCTACATTTTTTTACTATCCATAACAACTAGAGACAATAGTAAATAATGCCATTGCTCTTTGATCACATCACAGAAAAGATCTGATGGCTGCATAGCTATCTTCCTGCTGTAGTTCTTAAAATGTTTCAAAGAGTTGGCAATGTAACCCAAATAATTTTAATTAACTAAAAGCAGAATAATACATAAATATCATAGAAGTAAAACAAAGGCATACGTGATCATCCCAGGCATTTCACATTTTGCAAATTGTCTGCTCATGCCAGTATGTCAACCCATCAGATAACAAAATTACTACATCAGGTAATTCTGCTGTAAACTGAACTTTTTACTTTTCATCAAAGTAAGTTAAAAATAACTGACAGATGGGGAGTATAATAGCTCAGGGAAACCACTGTGCTAATGCATCTAACAGTTTCCCAAACTGGACTACACATCTTGCTGGTTTGGAGTTTGAATAAATTCATGATTGCCTGAACCCATCTGTGTAGACATACCCTGGATCCTGGCTGTTCATAGCCCTTCAAATGCTATTAAAACTAGGGAAATAGGGTGGAAAGAAATGTTCCCTGCAATACAAGATAACGCAGTTGTAGTCAGTGGAAATGCTGGAGCCTCCATGATATGAAAAATGTATATTTCAAATAAATACATTAGTGCAATATTTACATATACAAGAAAACAGTGGCATGTCATGAATAATTTTCCCTCTAAGTAAGAATGTGCAAACCATCTTAACAGACAATATACTGAGCCTTTAAAACAGTTTGAACACTGTATTATTTCTTATTATTCATCCCTTTGAGAAATGATACATTCTCATCTTTACTCAAAGACTTTCAACAGAGCAACACTGCTCTCAAGCATGAACTATGGTTATGGCCATTACTAAGGTGACGACAGAAAATGGCATTACTGCATCATCATTTTGTCGGTTGTCGTAATTTCCCCATGTATCTCTTGACCTCTCTGTACGTTAACTTGGTTGGTGGGTTAACACTGTCCTATTGTAGAAACAAAACCCTGCTATGTAATCTCCCTCTATCTCACACTTGATCCATTCAGTGTTATTTAAAGGCATTGTCAAGGGCATTATGTGCTTGTCTGTTGTGAAGGCTCATGGTTTCACAAATAGTCCAGAGAAAAATAATGGAAAGAATGAACCATAGAAGGCAGTGCTTCTCTTTTCTTATTTTTCTTTTTTGTTGGTGGTGGTTTTTTTGTTTGGTTGGTTGGTTTTCTGTGTATATAATGATCCAATAGATAATATCACACAAAAAGTGTGCAGGGGAGAGAATGAGCACACATTTTTTTCATGGGTTTGGTAAGTTTGAAAGTAGTTACAGTTTTACCATTTTAATTTTGTCATCTGCAAATGTTAATGAGCATAGTATGCATGGTTCCTCAGAAGGAAGAGTGGACTGTTCAAGATTAACACCCTTTCATTAATTTCATTTATACACTTTGCATCCATCCTGCATTTGGCAGGCTTTTCCAAATAATGCTACCAGAGTACAAAAAGGTGTAAAACGAGGAAAAGAGTGGCTCAGTAAATAACTGAAGTTAGCACTGAAGGTATATAACGTTACTTATGACACACAGTTGAGTATTCAATCAGGTCTCTTTTACAAGCAATTGATATTCTCGATAGCCTGTGCATAATGTTGTCGAGAGACTTAGAAGGATGTTAACATTTCATTACTCTAGCCATTGATTTTTTCCTGCTTTCTTCACAATAAAAGTCAAAACGTGACCTCTTATTCCACTGAATTAGTTCCAGAGCATTTGGCGTTATTGACCTCCTAATGAAAATTAATGATGGCTCTTTTGATTCAATCTTTCAAGTAGGCACACCAAGCACATTTAACAGGCACATTTGTTTCTCATATTGAAAAGAAATAACACACTGTTAAGTAACAAAATGTACATTAATGAACATTAAATCTGCAAATTTAAGCACATAGAATTCAAGACATTTAAACTGCATTGTCAGAAGCTGATGCTGCAAAGATTTAAGCTTGGCAATAATTTCAGACCTGGAAAGTCAATGAGTTTTACAAGTAAAGATACACATAGGCTTAGAATATTTCAGCCCCAGGCCCTAAATTTATGGTAAAAACCTGGCAAGACTGAAATGGTTTTACTGTGCAACAGAGATAATTGTACATTAGCTTAGGTATTTCCATGCTTTTCTTTTCCCTGTTAAAGCTAGAGAAGAATTCAAATTCTTCTCAGTGACTTTTTTCTTCTGTGCTCATAAGCTGTCACCCCACAGTTGAGTGGATTTCCTTCATACAGAGCCTTACACAAATATTTATGCGCAAATTGACTTCAGCCTATGGATATGGATCCCTTCCCCCTTGCATCTCTATAAATAAGGATTACTTTTACCAGGTGAAACAGGAAAGGTGAATGGATTCATATCTGGAGATTGGGTGAAAGCTTTCCATTTTATCTAAACAACTTCCTATTCCTTGGAAATTCTCCCAGAAATAATTCCTGGGGAATTATCTAGGAAATCTGCAAGGATAATGAATAAACTAATTTACTTCCTCTCTTTCCTTAGACAACAAAGACTATGATGCATATCTATCCTATACCAAAGTAGATCCTGACCAGTGGAATCAAGAAACTGGAGAAGAAGAAAGATTTGCTCTTGAGATCCTACCAGATATGCTTGAAAAACATTATGGATACAAGTTGTTCATACCAGACAGAGATTTGATTCCGACAGGAAGTAAGTCATGTCTGTATGTTTGTGTGTTTCCTAAACAGCAAATGCAGTGATTGCAGTGATTGTTTTGTATAGATTCTGTGCCTACTCCTCCAGAATATCATCTTTCCTCCCTCATCTTAGGGAATGATGAAGATAAGTTTTCTGTTCCAAGATTCTAAGTATTTATTACAGAAATTCAGATAGGAAGGAAAAAGTTGTGTTTGGGCTAAGGCAAGGGTAATGACATCTACAGTAGAGCAAAGTAGTGAATTCTGTTAGTGTTCACTGCAGGTAAATGTATAGTGGAGGTACCGGACCATTCTCAGAGACTGAAAATTAGAATTGATTCCAGCTGGTACAAGTAGATCTTTTTCATGTTTCTTTCACATATTCCAACCTGAATACAGTAATTTTTTGTAAGTTGCTGTAGTATTCTTCATAACTTCAGTGTAACCGTATAGACAGCTACCAAGTTCGATATCTTTTACTGAAGATAAGAAAAGATGCTGGGTATAGGCAAAGCACAACATCAAACATAATTGCATGGATATTTTTGAAATCTACAGCAAACTAAACATTAATTTGCAGGAGATGATACCGTTTGTATGAATGTGTGCGGTGAGGGCACGAAAGGAAAACAAGAATCTAACCTTAGAGTACACTTTAGAGTATCATTTAGGTTTGAGATTAAGCCCCTGAAGCACGTAGTTGCTGCTCTGTTGCCTACCTGGGTGACTTTGCCTTTTTAAAGGAAAAAATAGTGATGGACGCACTTGTTCCAATAAAGATACAGATATTGATACAAAACCACAGCTCATGAACAAACACTCACAATCCATAGCGCATGGGGGAATGGATGTTTTGCAGGATGACGGAATGTTTGACGTTGGAAGGGAGGGACCTCTGGAGGTCATCTTGTCCAACCCCCCTGCTCAAGCAGGGCCACTTAGAGCAGGTTGCCTGGAACCATGTCATGGCAAGCCAACCTGGCACGTTTGCAAGTCATGTTTTTGCATATTTCAGTGAGCTCTTCTGGGAGCAGGGATTTGCCTCTGTTGTTTCTCCCCAGTCTATGGGAGCAGAGTGTTTTCTTAGATTGATTTTTGAGCACTTGTCTTATTTTGTAGCCTACATTGAAGACGTGGCAAGATGTGTAGACCAAAGCAAGCGACTGATCATCGTCATGACTCCAAATTATGTGGTAAGAAGAGGCTGGAGCATCTTTGAACTGGAAACGAGGCTTCGAAACATGTTAGTCACAGGCGAAATCAAAGTGATACTGATTGAATGCAGTGAACTACGAGGAGTTATGAACTACCAGGAGGTCGAGGCCCTAAAACACACCATCAAGCTCCTCACTGTCATTAAATGGCATGGACCAAAATGCAACAAGTTGAATTCCAAGTTCTGGAAACGTTTACAGTACGAAATGCCTTTTAAGAGGATTGAACCCATCACACACGAGCAGGTTTTAGATGTCAGTGAGCAGGGGCCCTTTGGGGAACTGCAGACAGTCTCTGCAATTTCCATGGCTGCTGCCACCTCCACTGCTCTTGCCACTGCCCATCCAGACCTGCGCTCCACTTTTCATAACACATATCATTCACAGATGCGCCAGAAACACTATTATCGAAGCTACGAATACGATGTACCTCCTACCGGCACCCTGCCGCTTACCTCAATAGGTAACCAGCATACCTACTGCAACATCCCTATGACACTTATAAATGGGCAGCGGCCACAGACAAAAACTAACAGGGAGCAGAACCCGGAAGAGGCTCACACAAACAGTGCGATACTACCCCTCTTGCCACGGGAGACCAGTATATCAAGTGTCATTTGGTGACCGAAATGCAAGGGGTTGTCAACCCCCTTGAGTAGGAGCTGAGTCTGCAGTCCGGTGCCTGGAACTACATCCTCGACTGCTGCTGTTAAACATGCATTACAATCGATAACATACGAGGAAAAACAGGGTCTTGTACATATGTTTTTTGCAATTTCTTTGTAGCATCAGTCTTCCTGGTTTACCCATGTCTCTTCCCATTCACATTTTCGACTTTGTTTTATATGTCATTGGAATTTGTATATTTACATTTTTTTAAATGAAGAGACTGCTGTATAGATAGGAAACATTTTTGCTTCGTTAGTATAGTTTTAGACTTTTTGTTTGTTTGTTTTTAACCTCTCTTGGGAATGCTTGGACAAGCTATGTTGATATCAGAAGCACCATCCATTTTGTTGGCCTGCCTAGCCTGATTCCTGAAGGCCATGCCTGCTGCAGTTCACTTCTTTTGGAGAATATTTGTTCTTAGAAGGACCCCATCCCTCACTGAGAGCTCCAGTTTCATTTCTTTTCCTGTAATGTGCACTGCTCCTTCCCTGCTCTTACAATGACCCCCATTTGGGGTAACACTACAGTCTGATCATCTAACACGTAACTTGGTAGATACCTGTCAAACAACAGAATATACCCAATCTGTATCGGTTGCTTCACAGTAGTCACTACAGAGTGTGTAGAAACTAGAGATGGTTTGGTTTTTGCTTTCTTGGGTTTGTTCTTTTTTTTTTAATTATTATTCTAAGAATGAGTTGATTGTATCCCTTTTATAAATATAAAAGCAAACCCTATTTTTAACACTTCCTGGAAAAGTATTAATGTGGTGGTGGATTTTATTTTTATGCATTTAACTTTTTGTTTTCCCCCTTTCAAAATCCTGCCAATAAGATCATTTGCAATTGTCAGGCAAGTAAGACAAGTGAGGCAATAGGCACTGAAGTGCAGAGAGTCCTGCTGATATTTGCAGTGATGACTTCCAAACCAAAGGGGAATAAAAAGACAATATTGTAGATGGTTTGTCACTTTGTATTATAGAAAGTGTTATTTTCTGAAAAAGTAAGAGCAAAACATTATTTTGCTGTGGATTACAGAGTCCCCTTGTATTTTAATGTTCCAAAAACTGTATTTGCTTTAAAATGTTATATTCAGGATTAAGAAATCTTCTTTCATTTGGTTTTAGCTTGTAACAATAAGTAAAACTTTATTAATTTCAACATGATTTCAGTAAGAACTCAGGCAGAAAAAAATGACATGAATACCAACAAATATCATTGTTTTCAGAATAAACTTTATTTATACAAAATTAATATTTAAATCAGACCTGGAAGTATTAAAAACAATTTATTCACTTTAATGAATAAATAAATTAGTTTTATTTTTTATGTATGATTCTATCTTTGAGGAGTTGCAAATAATGCGTGTACCACGGCTGCCAGGGAAGAAAAAAAGAAACACTATGTTTTCATCTGCACATCTTTCAGACAAATGAAATAAGCATTACTCATAATTATGATTTAAATAATGAAAAAGTCCTTTCTGGTTTTTTTTCGGTGTTGTAGCTCTACGACATATTCAGGCCAAGCTCTCTGCTAGTCTCTGCTAGCAGAAGCAGAGGAGCTGGGGTAGAGTTACTGGTTGCAGCACACTGTTATATAGTCATGGGTTTGATTTACCCTGACAGAAATGTATCCCGGGAAACAGACGTTACAGTCTATTTATGTAAGTAATTAGATTTAGGTATTTTTATGGTAGCTGAATGATATTGGCCAATATAATGAATGTGTGGGATTTGTTCATCCCGATTGTCACAATGAGAAAAGTACAGCTTATAATATTTTGGTCTTCTTAATGAGGAGTGATGGTTAGAGAGCGGGTAAACTGCAGTTCAGGGAATGTTTGTGGGAGTAATCCAGAACTGACAGTGTGGGAGGAAATGACTACGCTCCTGTTGTGAAAGTCAAAAAATCTCAGTATCTGCATAACAAGCTAATAGAGCTTTGGGATGTGCACTGATTTTTATTTGCTTAAAAATGTTTATTTCTCTGACAATTTGCTCAAGTCCTTTTCTACAATCTTTCCTTATTACAGTGTCTCCCTCTGGACATGTGCCAAATATCCACAAAATGGAAATGAAGCTGCCAGGCCAGATAAAATTTTAAGAGAGCTTTGCACATTTGGTTATTTTCATAGTATAAGAAAGCTATTATTTATTTGCTCTTACAGACACCTGTCAGGCACTGATGGCATTTTCCTTCATTCAACTGGATGCCAAATACCCCACTATCCTCTGAAAGCAATGCATTTTTTTTCCCCTTTCCCTCCCCTTTACATGCCCTGGGGTAAAGACTGGGATGTGAAGTAAATGTGGAATGTAACTATCTGACCGCAGTCACATTTAGACGATTGGTAGGCATTTCCTTAGCCACATGGGGAGTACTTTTCTGTTGTTCTATTTTTAGCATAGATTTAAGCACTTTGAATAGCATGATTCAGGGATTGATGGATACTATTTGATATTCACACTACTTAAAAAAAGTTTTTCTTATAATGTTTTGTCATAATATTAAACAAAAGAAAAACAAACAAAAAAAAAGAAACAAACCACAAAACAAAACCTGAAATAAATGGAGAAGCTGTCTATGGCTTTAGAAACATTCATCCTTAGTATTCCTCCTCTATGAACAGCGCTGTGTGGGGAACAGTGAAGGAAACTGTTGTGTGTTCACGTGTTCTATATGTTTGACAAAATTCTGTTGGAACGCAAAATAAAATGAAAAAAAAAACCCAACTAAACCTGTCATTGCCCTAGTGCTTAGGCTCTATCCTCTTTTGGTGAAGGTATTCCAGTTTTTGACAATGCAGCCTGAAGTATGCATGCGATAGCCACATATAAGGTTTAGCCATAAACAAATAGCACTATTTTAAAAACTGCACGGTGTGATGATTGGAAAAACTTACTCTGCCTGGTCAATAACTTCGGGTCTGTATGTGGATTCTATGCACATGATTTATTCAAGTGTGGTGCTTTGTCTTTATAAGGCTCTCTCTAATCAGGGTTGTCCTTGATATAAAACTAAAGGACTTTGTTGCACAACCTGTGGAAATTCAGTGTATAGATTCTCTGGAGAGCACATATAGCTGGACAGAAATGGGGGACTGTACAGCATGCAGCTAATTATTTTGAAGGCAAAGTGCATTGCTGGGTCTGATTCTGTTCTCAGTTGCAGCAGTATGATTTGAGAGTAAATCTAATAAAGTTGAATGAGTGTAAGATTGATTTGTGTGGGAGAAGAAAATTGGAAAAGCAAAGAGAAAAGGAATTTGTATTTGCAGTCTGTGACAAGCTGAAATCTTGGCCGCAAGGAAAGCCGCAACAAAATGTCTTCTGCATTTTAGTAGGGACCCAGTTCTCACCTGGCAGCCAACATCAAACACTTCCAATATGATCTGGTTCAGAGCTGAATACTGTTAGGCTTAGATGCAAACTAAGATTGTTCTATTACTGCACAGCTGTGAAAACCCTGTGTATGTTATATAATGGGTGATAATCAGCTTCAAAATAATTGGAAAGCTTGTTATACCCGCCTGATTAAAATTCACAAAGTTTTACTTGGATATTGTGCATTAATGACACATTTAAATTATAGATAAAGCAGTGAGATTTGGGGAAAACTGGCCTGGCAAACAGGCTTCCTTCATTCTTAAACTGAAAAAAAAAAGAAGAAAATGTCAAGCTAGCAAGCCTAAGGAGAGTTTAATTAAAATCCAAAGAAGAAAAAAAAAATCACAGCAGTAAAGTAAGCTCAAAAATAGGATAAAGGCCAATGGAGAAGAAAGGTCAAAATACCTACCTGTTTTTTGACTCTACTGTGGCTTTTTTTGTCATGCAAAGCTCTGTAGTCTGGCTGACCTACCCAAAGCAACTGGCTTTCTTTGGGCCCAGATCCAGACAGATCAGCAACACAAATATGTCCCTGTATGTCTAATACACTTCTGAATGATTTTGTACTTGTTGGTAGTCTAACACAGAGAGTTTTTGGTGTGTCTTCTATTGTTGTGAAACAGAGGATGGCAGAAATCTGCCAGCGCTAAAAAAAATCTCTGTAACAGGCTTAGTTTATTGCGCAGAGTAACTATATTCCTTCTCACCCACCCCTTATCTGATTTGCTGTTATTAAAACACTTTGTTTAACCCATTTCTCACCTGAGCAAAAGATTAATGTGACTGGCATCAGAAAAAATGTAAGCAATTTCATAACAATTAGCCTCCTTGTATAATGAATGCTGCAAGTTCCCTTGCATTTTTTCTGTATTATCAGAACTCTTCACCTCCTAAATAGCCCACTGAGTGGAGGTTGGAGAACACCGTTGTGCCTTTCATTTGAGATTCACTGAATTTAGTATGGACACTGAGCTGTCATTTGTGATGTAATTTTACTAGACTATTTCCCATCGACTCTGGCTATATCCTCCAAGAAGACGTGTTGGCAGCATCACACTTCTCCAGCTGGCTTTGGGTTCATGTTCCAGAACTTGGAGTTGTTGCCCTGGGGAGTGAAACTAATAGAAATGTTTCAGCTAATAAGAGATTTCCTATGCTTTTTGTTTGTTTAAATTCTGTTTAAGATAAAGTTTGATCTTTGCTCTGGACTAATAAGCTCTGTGGGTGGGATGTCAAGAGTCCACAGAGTCATGAAGCAGTCAGAGCAGAAAGTACAAAGGCAGGCCTGATACCTTATTTGGAAAATGTATAAATTCTGAAGCTGTTCAGATTACTAAAAACTGAGTACATTGAGATTGAGAGTTGTTCAAAGAAAGTATTCTTTTTGTTATTACAACTAGCCTCATTCCAAAAGCTTATCGGCATTCTTACATTAAATAGCCAATATCCTAAATAATATAATTTCAGAAACATTCAATAGTCAATTAAAATATTTTTATTTTGGTGGATTAAGAGTAACATGATTCTCTAGGATCTAAATGTTAAATGAAATAGATAATCTTTATCT